AATAGCATGTGTAATACCTGTCTTTAATAGTTAATATATGTGTAATACCTGTCTGTGATTGTTAATACCTGTGTAATACCTGTCTTTAATAGTTAATATATGTGTAATACCAGTCTGTGAAAATAAATACATGAATAATACCTGTCTGTGATAATAAATACATGTGTAATACTTCTCTGTGATAGTATGAATACCTGTGTAATACCAGGCTGTGAAAATAAATACATGTGTAATATCTGTCTGTGAAAATAAACACATGTGTAATACCTGTCTGTGATAGTAATTACATGTGTAATGCCAGTCTGTGATAGTACAAACATGTATAATACCAGTCTGTGAAAATAAATACATGTGTAATACCTGTTTGTGATAGTTATTACATGTGTAATACCTATTATGTTTATTTATTTATTTTTATTGTATATACCTGATGTATGGGAGGTGTATACCTTATATATAGGCGATATATAGGCGGTATATACCTAATGTATGGGAGGTGTATATACCTGATGTATGGGAGGTGTATACCTGATATATAGGCGAGTTATATAGACGGTAAAATCCCATATAACACTGAATCCTAATGGAGGTATGTCCGTAGGATATATAGGCAATATATACCTTATGTGTGGGAGGTGTATATACCTGATGTATGGGAGGTGTATACCTGATGTATAGGAGGTGTAAACCTGATGTATGGGAGGTGTATATACCTTAGGTATGGGAGGTGTATACCTGCTGTATAGGAGGTGTAAACCTGATGTATTGGAGGTGTATATACCTTATGTATGGGAGATGTATACCTGATGTATGAGAGGTGTATACCTGATGTATGGGAGATGTATACCTGATGCATGAGAGGTGTATACCTGATGTATTGGAGGTGTATACCTGATGTATGGGAGGTGTATAGCTGATGTATAGCAGGTGTAAACTTGATGTATAGAAGGTGTATATGCCTGATGGATGGGAGGTGTATACCTGATGTATAGCAGGTGTAAACTTGATGTATAGAAGGTGTATATGCCTGATGGATGGGAGGTGTATACCTGATGTATAGCAGGTGTAACCTTGATGTATAGAAGGTGTATATGCCTGATGTATGGGAAGTGTATACCTGATGTATAGCAGGTGTATATACCTGATGTATGGAAGGTTTATATATCTGATGTTCTTGAGGTATATATCTTATGTATGGGAGGTGTAAACCTGATATATAGGAGGTATATACCTGATGTATGGGAGGTGTATATACCTAATGTATGGGAGGTGTATACCCGACGTATAGGAGGTGTATACCTGATGCATAGGAGGTGTAAACCTCATGTATGGGAGGTGTATATACCTGATGTATGAGAAGTGTATATACCTAATGTAGAGGAGGTGTATACCTGATATACTGTATAGGAGGTGTATATACCTGATATATAGGAGGTGTATACCTGATATATAGGTGTATATACCTGATGTATAGGAGGTATATACCTGATATATAGGTGGTGTATATACCTGATATATAGGAGGTGTATACCTGATGTATGGGTGTAAACATGATATATGGAAGGTGTATGTATGTACCTGCTATATTGGAGGTGTATACCTGATATATAGTAGGTGACTTTTGCTAGTGATATCAGATATCATCGGTATATACGTATCATTTACTACTTTCTCAGAAGACTGGTTCCAAGCTTAATCTGATACTCACCACAAAATCTGAATTAAGTCGACAGTGACCTGCATTTCACCAGTAAACTTTGGCAGTACAGTACGTGTTCATGTACCATCTCCATGTTACAGCATAATATTCTAATACAAAACCGAAATGACGGGATAGAATTAATCCGGATATTTTTATATTACTATTGATTGGTGGTTATTTAGGTCCTAAATAATTCAATATTTTGAATAATATTAGTTGTCTGTCTATTGAATGATAAGACATTTTAAATAGCAGAAAAGATGATTAATACAAATATGAAAAGTTTCTAAGTATGGAGAAACATTTATCTTTATTATTTGCTCAAAGTACGTTACTTCACGTATTGTCACTGGAATGCCATCTTATGACATCACAGCATCTTAATGTCATGAAATTGGCAGGTATTACTAATGTCACCCTGGTAAAATACTAGCCGCTTCCTACCGACTGAGCTAGGGAGAATTTCTCTTTCGGTAGAGCGTAAGACTAATAAACCATAGGTCCCGGGTTCGACTTCTGGCGGAGGCTTTGATAAAATTAGTGATCTTTGTTACAATTTGTCTACAACCACAACCCTTACAGACCACGAAAACTTCAATAGTCGTGGTTCCATATATTTGTGATTTGCATAACTTTTCTGTCACTGATCGGCTTACTTCGTTGACCGGTATTGTGGGGTTTCAGTGTCTGCTTTGAAAAAAGACCTGTACATTGTGTAGTTGGATAGCTGCTGATCTATATTCTCCAGGAATATACACAAGCCATGATGTAGAGCATGCAAGAAACGTTTATCTTTCATGTTAGCGGGTTATTTCGACAATTCAGTCACTTTTGTATGAAACGAATATGGCTGCTATAGTATGTATACTTTTAACATGTCACTCTTTCTCCCCCGTTTCAGTATTATAATATAGTGTCCGAATTGATCACATTGATACATAAACAACATTTATTTTCATTCAAATATGTCGCCGATAGTTCTGCGTGACATAAAAGTTCCTTACTATACACACTATACATATTTGGTTTGTGTAGAAAATAAACCCCTCTACTCCACCAAATGTACGTTACACATTTGGAATTGTGATAAAGCAACTGTAGTTTCTTAAGTAAATCATCATAAATGGATCTCGGAGCTACATTTAGTATTATATACAATGTTCAGGCGCTGAATTTTTGTCATTTTTTCTATGATTAAAGCAATATTGATATGTAGACTTATGTCGATATAAATGGCTTGTAAGACTGTGCTTACCTATCATTTTTCAAATTTTAAAGACACTACAGAATATAACCTGATAAAAAGAGACGACGACGCTATGGAGATAGCATCTCCCGCAGAACTGCTGTCACATTTCACTACTCGATTCCAATATTCATAGCAAAAATAATCAAGAGTAAAGATTGTTTCGTTATGCATTTTTAATCTTCATAAAAATAGCGATGAAGAAATGTGACACCAATGATAGAAAGTATACAATATTTGTATGTTATACTTTGTATCCAATAACATTTTTTTCATCAAAGCGTCCACAAAACCTAGCTGCGGGAACCGTAGCTTCTATGTCCGATTTTTTATTGATTTTTTTTATAGGTCTATGGTCCGATAACAATAAAAAAAAATCGGACATAGAAGCTACGGTTCCCGCAGCTACCACAAAACCATGACTCTAACTCAATATCGATAAAACTAGCCAAAATATGAACTGAAGAAAGATTTACACGGAGACCATTGAAAAAGTACAAGAATAAGACCAGGGTAAGCTTCTTTTGCTTCACCTGACATGTAAATCTATGTCAAATCTGGTAGAGACAATAAAACTGCAAGGCACACTCAGACTACTTAAACTATTTTGCATACATTATTTAGTAAACGATATTTGTATACAATACTATACTTAGTGTACATACTAAGTATACAAGAAGTGTCTATAAATAAACATATTTAGCATCAACTTGATATAATACCATTTATTACAGTAAAAGATATCGATATATGTTCATGGATTTGGTTTGGCTTGTTTATGTTTTACGTCCTAATATAAGCCATTGTCATAAAAGGACGAGCCTGGGCTTGGTAGTGCAGGGAAACCGGAGTACCTGGAGCAAAAACTTCGACCTGCGGATTGTACCTGGCGACTGGCTCACGAAGGCCTCGAACCCGCGACCCAGTAATGGAGCTTTAGTGGTGGTAGACGTTGAGACGGCCTAATCACTCGGCCACCGCGGCCCCCTATTCCTTATGTTCATGGAATATGACACATGAATACTATGAAAAGGTGATATTTGTATCAGTCTTCCAGTTTCTGTCACTTTGCATTCGAACACTATTTACTTATATTGCATCTTTTTTTAATAATCATCATTTTTTTTCTAGAAAGCAATCATTACTGTTAGATCAGTCTGTTTCTGACGAAATAGTGTTGCCATTCTAACATTGTTGTTATATTCACAAACGCACGATAATAAGTACTCAAAGTGTTTGAAAAATTGTTGTTTACCAAATAAATTATATCACGTGGAAAAAACAAGCCATCCTCGTCCAGGAAGGTCTTCCTTGTCAAACTAGTTCGACAGTTAGGCGACGGAACGCGACTGGCGCGAACCAGAATGCCATCGTATTTCTAGTCTTTCTAGTTTGTTTCAATAACCTAACGAAAACACTGATTAACAGCCATTTAATTAGTTGTTCGGTTGCCATTTGTTTTGTCTCCAACGTCACATGTGTTAACTAGGTTTCCATAGTGATGTTATGACGTCAGTAGTGATAAAAATATACGGGAAGAACTGGGACGGATAGGTAGGGAACTCGTGTAGGTATATTTGTAGATTTGTATATTTAAAGATAACAAGAAGTGTGGGTAGGAGTTGCTCTCAGCAGGATTTCGAAAGTGACGTCAGGATGGTAGGATGAAGCGCGCGTCTGTGCAATTCTTGGTTTATAATCTGCAGTCAGTAAGATTTCGCCATTACATGGTAGGATGTATCGCATGCAGAGTGGTGACGTCAATAAATGGTAGGCTTAGGTTGGTAGGAGTGGTGACAGGTAGGCTGGAGCTCGAGTACTAGGTAGAAAGAACACCATTAGTAAACAGCAATGTGATGACATCAGTAGGGGTAGGCGTAGGTTGGTAGGAGTCGCGATAGCTAGGTTGGTTGTCGTATTTGTAGGAACACCATTAGTTAACAGCAATATGATGACATCAGTAGCGGTAGGCGTAGGTTGGTAGGAGTCGCGATAGCTAGGTTGGTTGTCGTATTTGTAGGAACACCATTAGTTAACAGTAGTGTTATGACATCAGTAGGGGTAGGCGTAGGTTGGTAGGAGTGGCGATGGGTAGGTAGGAGCCCGAGTTTGTAGGATCCTAAGTATGTTACAAGCAGCTAAGCTCTCTGCTTTACTGTCACTAACTTCCGCCTCACGGCCTCGATCTCGTTTGTACTTTGTTCTTCTGTTTTGGAACCAGACTTTCACCTGTCAAAATTGAAGCAATATGCTACTTTCGATTTATGAGTAGGCTACACTACAGCAGACCAAAACACCATGCAATGTACATGCTATGAAAATATATAGAGTTATTCAGTAAAAGAAATACCTAATATCAAACGTCAAAATGCAGAAAGTCTTTCACAAAAGATCAAGAATGTCAAAAACAAGCTGGAATTAATAATATCTATGGAAAGAACGAAAGTATCGTTTTGCATATCATTGTTTTCATTTTGTGGAAAGCTAAACTTGTATATAAAATATTACTTGGGTTTCCGAAAGCTGAAGATTTTTGGACAACTCCGTGCGTTCCTTTCCTACTAAGTACTGGTTACGCTGGAACTCTCTCTCCAGCTGGTACAACTGTTCCGGGGAGAAAGTGGTCCTGGCCCGCTTGGGACGGTCCAGGTCAAGGGCTTTAGGGAACACAAGCTCTTTCATGACACCATTGGAATCTGAAATGAAACATATTTAAATATGTAATCATGTTGTACCAGTGTTATATTGAGGTTTGTTTGTTTATGTGGGTTTCTCTGAGGTAAATAATGTTTGTGAGAGTGTTCAGCTTTGCTTATTTTTACCATTTTATAAAAGGGTTATTTAATAAGTTCAGATATTTGGACAAAATTGGAACTCAGGAACAGGAATTTAGGAACCACCAAAACAAAAGGAAAGACAACAACAGGAACTGAAGTGACACCAAAACAAAAGGAAAGACAATAACTGGAACCGAGAAGACACCAAAACAAAAAGGAAGACAACAACAGGAACTGAGGAGACACCACAACAAAAGGGAAAACAACAACAGGAATTAAAGAGGCAACAAAACAAAAAGGAAAGGCAACAACAAGAACTGAGGAGACACCAAATCAAAAGGGAGGACAACAACAGGATCTGAGGAGACACCAAAATAAAAAGGAAAGACAACAACAGGAACTGAGGAGACACCAAACCAAAAAGAAAGACAATAACAGTACCTGAGGAGACACCAAAACAAAAGGAAAGACATCATTAGCAGCTGAAGAGACATCAAAACAAAAGGAAAGACAACAATTGAGGAAACACAAAAAAAAGACATAAACAAGAACTGAGGAGATATCAAAACAAAAGGAAAGGCAACAACAGGAACTGAGGAGACACCACAACAAAAGGAAAGGCAACAACAAGAACTGAGGAGACACCAAAACAAAAGGAAAGGCAACAAAAGGAACTGAGAAGACAACTAAACAAAAGGAAAGGCAACAAAAGGAACTGAGAAGACAACAAAACAAAAGGAAAGACAGCAACAGGAACTAAGGAAACACCAAAACAAAAAGAAAGACAACAACAGGAGCTGAGAAGAAAAAATAAATAAAAGTAAAGACGACAACAGGAACTGAGGAAACACCAAAACAAAAGGAAAGACAACAACAAGAACTGAGGAGACAACAAAACAAAAGGAAAGGCAACAAAAGGAACTGAGAAGACAACAAAACAAAAGGAAATGCAACAAAAGGAACTGAGGAGAGACCAAAACAAAAGGAATGACAACAATTGAGGAAACACCAAAACAAAAGGAAAGACAACAACAGGAGCTGAGAAGAAACCACAACAAAAGGAAAGACAACATTAGGAACTGAAGAGACATCAAATCAAAAGTAAAGACAACAGGAGCTGAGAAGAAAAAATAAATACAAGACAACAACAGGAACTGAGGAAACACCAAAACAAAAGGAAAGACAACAACAGGAACTAAGGAAACATCAAAAGAATATTTTGTTGTTATTTAAGAGTAAACTTACTCTGTAATTGAGTTGATAATCAATTAATGTTTATTTTGTAATTGTATTGCTAAGTAATTTACATTATGCATCACGAAGCAATGTTATGTCTTGATTTAGTCATAAATAGTATTCTGTTATTGTTATAACTATTACTTTACTAGTGTATTTTACATGGATGAATTGAACCCTCTGACCTAGGCAAATATGACTGAAGAAGTCTATAATAAGACAACCAATATGGGGATTGTACATAAAATCTAAACCTTTAAAACAAAGAATACAACGCAATAAGTGTTATCTCTGTGTAAGGCAGCATATGAATCCTATCATACTAGACACGTTTTCTCAGACTATTTAAAAAAAATAAAAAAAAATTAGTGTCTCGTCAAGGTAATCAGCGGTGAATAATCGATGTTGAATCCCTTCCCTCCTGTTACTCAGCCTTACGGGAGGGTTGTGACCCCTGTCGTTCTGTGTGTAGGCCTTCTATACCATACTTAACGTTAGGCCTATCATATTTCTATCGTTATTAAAAGAAAATTATCGAACTTTTCACTATAATATTACATCTGTTATCAGCATGTGATTTAACAACGCGTTTGCCGTTTTATTATTATTATTTTTTAAACTGACCTCTTGTCTGTTGGTGTGCTCTCTAGTGGAGTACCATTGTGTGGCGGCTTCTCTATCATTATACGTCTTTGTTACTCCGAATCGGTTTAATTCACAGCCCAGTCGATCAGTCTTTTAGGATTTCTATATAGCAATTGTCGACAGTAATACTCACAACAATAAACAAGTTTAACTTTACAGGGTAATATGAAACGAAACATTGTGTGTAGAAATGAAATGACAGTCTGCATAAAATTCCAACTCATTGATATCACCTCAGTGCATGGGACGTCGTTGGTGTCCCAGGCCTCAGGCTAAGCCCCACCACGCCCCATTTCATCGTGTAGGTTTCAAAGTTTTGATTATCGCCCGTGGTTAGCATCAGACAACTTGTCTAAACAGAGTTGCTGAATTGAATAAAAAAAAATCACAATAGCGATGAAAATATTCGATTGTTGTGTCAAATTTCATCCCGACTAATTGGTTCTACGACAAAAGAATTGTCAACTGTTTCTACCGAATCCCGTTTGATCCATGTCATCTAGTCCGTAAAACACATTGACTGTCATATTGTAAAAGAGGACGGGACGACTCCACTATAGATGTACATTTGAAGCACTACTAGATACAATTAGGCCATTAAAATACCATCAATAGTTACAGTTAGGGCGGATGACACAGTGGAATGTGGACGCGAGTCTTGTCACCGTCATCGTTACTCATGTCTGTACCCAATGACATTACACTACAGTGCTACATCATTCCGAAACACCACGTTCTCTTACTGGAGGAGACGTTTATTTTATTGTTACTCCACGAAAGAATGTGTTGCAGTGGCAGATCCAGCGGGGTTTTTTGGGCTTCAGGAACCCCCANCCCCCCCTTTCTGGAAATCCTCGCTTACAAAGCAAAGTCGTCGACAAAATAAATAAGTTTGTATCTAGTTTCATTTCTGTAAGTCACAACTCTTTGTATGCCCTAGTTAGAACTAAACTTTCAATAAAGGATTGCAAAGGCATCTTCCCCTTTTGCTACATGTGTTTCAGAAAACTTGTGACATGCATTGTCATTGTTTTGACCTTTGTGCAACTGGTTAAGCCTCAGTGAAATATGTGCAGTAAATATTTACTTTGTATGACTCTCTGCATCAACAAAATGAAATTTAAGATGAGTGCTTGGAAACTTTGTATATCACGTAACTTTGTGGCTGGCTCTGCTGGTGGTCTATCAGTCTCCGAGGTTTCTCTAATTTAGTCTTGCACGGTTCACACAAAGTACTAGTTCATCAATAAAACTACTGGTCTAGCTCACAGTTGTAAATTTGTAACGTTATAGAGGGTTGTAAAGAGTTTTCCCAGTTTGTTGTATTTCTACATATGTTGTGGTACACGTCAGACACATTTTTAATCTTCTGACATAAGTACCACACCTAAGTCCTAAATGGACGAAAGGAGATATGTTCCTGTAGATATTTACTTTGTTTGCCTTCCTGCATCAACAAACTAAATTGTTTTGATATAAACTTAACTTACTTTGTATTTTAAGCGATTATTTAATCAAACACTATCATTAACTATTAAACACAAAGTATAAGCATTAACTTATAAAACACAAAAACATACACACATTGTTATAGGCGGATGATTGCGAAATCTAATTTATTTATTTTTTCTTTCAAACTTTTTACAAGTAGAAAGATTCAGGAGACGGATGTACATTGACCATTTATATTTTTTTAAATCAAATGGATTTGTCAGGCTACGGGTTTAATCTAACTCACATGTATTTAAAAGAAATTCTCTTGGAAACAGTCTAAAATCATTATATTGACTCTAAATGTAACTTAATTGTGGGCCACGCTCGCCATGTTACCGAAGACCACTTGACTCCTCCTCAACTGTTTTGTACTCTGTGAACACTTTCCGATGACAATTCCAATATTTACAGACCTCTGAAGGTTTTTATAAAAGTTGCAGTCAATGTTTTTCTGTACATTGTACTACCGATATGATGGAGACACCTTATCTGGTGTTGTCTTTTCCCCCTCAAGTGTTCGGGACGTTTGTGTATACAATATATTCACAGAAAATAAGCCTGACACTATACACGTTACAACAATGGTATTGATTTGTGACCTTAAGTTGATAATGCTACCTGTAAAGGATAATCACAAGCACAACTTAGACAAACAAAGAGTTACTGAACTTATGTTGGTGTTAGACCACATAAGGATGTCAGACATGTGTATGCAACAACCCTTTTTAAAAGATCCTTATTTCACCCCGTGGTTGAATACATATGTATGCAAAGATCCTAGTTTAAACTCGTTCTTGTGCATATGTAGGTATACAGCATGTGTTCATACTCTATTTTAATACATACATTTGTATATAAATATCATAACTACAAACCGGGTTTTTTCATATGTATACAAAGATCCAGGTTTTTCGTCATTTAGGTTTCACAGATAGCTTTTTAATACGCATTGCCATTGGGATATTTCTTTATTCTTGAAGTAATCTATTGTACAGCTGTAGTCATTGATATTGTCGAATACACTTACAAATTATTTTGTAGGCTATTACACTGTTATCCAAATCTTTATTTGAATTGATTGTTATATTTATGAAAGAAAGTTATTAGAACTTCGTGAATTTATTTCATAGTTCTTTATTATGATATTAGATTCGTATTGTATAGTAATTCAAACTTTAAACATTTAATCTATTCGGGTTGTTCAAGGTACATGCACAGGAACATTGGGTAAATGACGTTTTATTAATTTAGTGTTCAGACTATTGAAACATTAGAATCGAAAACAACCCATTGAATTTCATAGAAATTCCAAGATCGTATACATTATTGATTATATAATTGGCATTTGTTGGTTTGTGAAGAAATCAATCACTTCAACAATAACATAAATAAAACCAAGCATAAAGAGAAATAACGATAAAAAATAATAAATAATATTACTACTAAAACCATATAAAAGGCATTACTGAAAGACGAACGCGTGTCGAAGACGGCCCTTTTTTGAAAACAATGTAGGATTACGTATTGTTGTATAGACTTCACAAATACTGGTATATTATGGTTGATATATGTAGGGTAAGTTAACATGGATGCCTTCCATTGACACAGCAGAGAAATGATAAATGACAGTTTTAAAGAAGTAGACATCGTACTAAAAAAATAGTCAATATCATGGCGACTGACAGACTTGTTTGCCTCGCTCACTTTAAAGTCAACACAGAGCAAATTATAAATGACATAATTTCGAAATCAAGAAAATTTCCCAACTCAGTAAGAATTTTGAGTTGCATATTTTTACCATATCATGTGTAACCTTGAATTATAAAAAAAAAATCCCCAGCGACACCAGAACGTTATTTTCAAAATAATTATCGAAACTTAATAATCCAATTAATAAGAAACAAAGTGGCTCTCACAGGAAAAGCAAGAGTCCATAAAGTAAATATATATGTCCTTAAAATTCAAATCAATGTATCAGAAAGACATGTGTGCTCTGTATGACGACATTATTAAATTAACCAGTTTCCTTTAAAACACACCAGATTGCCAGTACAAATACAACTGTATTTTGAGATAAATATAATCAGATACTGACATAAGTATATGATCACAGTGACTTATAGTGAACCAAGCACATGTGAACATAAGGAAAATACTGAAACAAGAATACATAGGACATATGCTAAAACAGGTAAACACGTATATATAATATTATATAAAAGAACCCAATTATACTGATAAAAAAAGTGAAATATTTAGGTGATATGACTATCATCATATCACGTTGTTTTATAACTTATTTTATCTCATTTATTATTCAATTCATGCAATTCTAGTGCAATGGGTTAGCATGGCACTGTGTGAAGTGATAGTGACTTTGATGTGCCTCTAATCAGACACTCGATTCTTCCTATTAACATTTCTGATTTTCTAATAAGTAATATCGGTTTATATGTATTATTATCCAAGCTAACTAGTTATTTTCAAATCCTTTTACCTGAATGCCTGAAATGTACGTGTTACAATCTGGAAATGGTTTTAATAGACAAGGCCTGTTCTTAGTTAAATTGTACATTTATTACAAAAAAAATAACTTGGAATGAAAAATATTACAGCTACCATATACTTAAAATTGTGAACATTTATTTATAAACTGTAAAAAGCCTCCATCATAATTGAGACATGCGGTTTTAAAATATATTGAACTGAGAGAAAAACAAATGTAAAAACATGTCTTTGTCTAGTTATATTTTATCGTCGACAATGCCGGTTTAATTTTTTGTAAAATATGACTCATATTACACTAAATGAATCTATAAAATCTTCCTTGGATACATTTTCAATGACAACAAAACCTTAAATAGTATGCATTACAAGGCCTTTGAAAACCAAACTTGAACATAAAAAACTCATCGGAAGCAACATAATTTACTGAACTGCAAGGAGTGCCCGCCGTTATGTTCTGTTAGATATACGTACCCTGGACCACCATTGTTTTACAGTATTCTGGATATTTCGATTTCGAATCTGGACTAGGTGATGGAACATCCTCTCGTGAGCTGTCTCCATGGTAACTACTGATCAAACCAATGTTTAGATATGTTTGATCCATCTTTGTGTTATAAAGTACCTTTATATCTTTCACCAGTTAGTAGAAACTATGTCTGCATTTGTTGGCGACACCAGACGTTCTTTATATGTGAACAAGCACAAGAATGTTAGTACGATAAGTCATCGCCTCAGAGCATTACTTTTTCTTCAAGAGTATTTCCTTTTGACAAAGATATGTGTCCTCCTTCATGCAATGGTGTAATGCATATTCACGGAAATCTTCTCATAGATATTCGTATGTGCATAACATAAACTATAGTTGTATCTGTACTAGAACATCTTGTGAGAGGAGTAGTATGCTAAATACTGTAATAACATGTACCACAATGTAATAACATGTACCACTTTGTTTCTAATGTGATTCGTATAAGTATTTTCGTATTCTAACACTCGAATCGTAAAGCTCGCGCGTGTATAAATTGTCTAAATGTAACTCGTTTCTTTTAAGGTAACTTAGTCGAGTGGTGGTCATCACGTGACTCTATGCTACAATTGTTTCACTTTACTTTTGAAAGCCGACCTTCCGCTTTAACGAATCGATTTCGTTTCATTGCTGATGAAAAGAAAAACCACGTGACCAGTGTCGCGTTTTATCAACTGCAATATGAGGACTCAATTAAACCTACCTGTAGCCACCTCCAGTTACGCCCACCAAACCATGTAACAGTGGCCACGCCTTCGTTTTGTTGTGCCGCTATTGAAGGAACCGCTCCAATTAGAGACCTGCGGAGAGGTCATCACTACAAGCAGGGCGATAGAGTAAGTTCTCAATGGAAGCTGGATAATTAGTGTGTTAGGCGAGGAGTGTAATCCCGGAATACGATACACGATATACCCTGCTGGTCCGTTTGTACTGTAAATCTCATCACATTTAATTCTGTTTTAGGATGTCTTATGCTAGACGATGATATGATTCTTACTTTGTTAGCAGTTTGGACGATTCGAATAATTAATCCTTATTTTGAAGCAAATTGAGGAATCGAACATTGGTATTAAGCGATTATCAGTGCATGATAATAGAATTGCTTTACTAAAACAAGTAAAACAAAGATGGGTATGCTATATGCTTTATTATTCTTACCTGTTTATCACATTGTTATAATTTGAGAAGAGAATACCCGTCTGTTAACAGCGCTACAATTGTGTTAGCAGTGCTCATATCACAGCCTGAACATGTTACCTTAAACTACAGTAAAACGTATGCATGTAAGGACGTCACGAAGAAACGTTGCTTCAGACATCGTACATACATAAATACGTATGCCGGGTCGACTAAAAGTTCACCATCATTAATAAGATGTTTAAGCAATAACCTTTAACACTTAATATTTACAAAACTGACAAAAATAAACTCCACAAGAAAATATTTTGAGATGGTCTATTTTTTTTTTTTTTAACATATCCTGTCTTTTGCAAAATATGAGTCATACTATTTCGCGAAATGTCAATATCTGCATTAATTTGCATGTGATCGAAGATTATCGCAGAAATTATTTAGATGCGATAAGATCAGGAACATTAATCCATTCTTTCTTTTGCGAATTTAATACTAATGTTCACTTGTACTGATAAGTTTTCGGTAACATAAATGTTCTGTAATAATATATAACATTAATTAGTGTTAATGTTAACTATCCCTAACAATCACTAACATTAATTAATGTTAACTATCACTATCAATCACTAACATAAATTAATGTTAACTATCACTAACAATCACTTACACTAACTAATGTCAACTATCACTAACTATCACTTACACTAATTAATGTCAACTATCACTAACTATCACTTACACTTATTAATGTCAACTATCACTAACTCTTATTAAAGTTTGCTATCACTAACTATCACTAACACTAATTAATGTCAACTATCACAAACTATCACTTACATAAATTAATGTCAACTATCACTAACTATCACTAACACTAATTAATGTCAACTATCACTAACTATCACTTACACTAATTAATGTCAACTATCACTAACCCTTATTAAAGTTTGCTATCACTAACTATCACTAACACTTATTAATGTCAACTATCACTAACTATCACTTACACTAATTAATGTCAACTATCACTAACACTAACTAATGTCAACTATCACTAACTATCACTTACACTAATTAATGTTAACTATCACTTACACTAATTAATGTCAACTATCACTAACTATCACTTACACTTATTAATGTTAACTATCAATATCACTAATTAGTGTTAACGATCAATAACTATCACTAACATTAATTAATGTTAAATATCACTAACACTAATTAATGTTAACTATCACTAACACTAATTAATGTTAACTATCACTATCTATCACTAACACTAATTAATGTTAAATATCACTAACACTAATTAATGTTAACTATCACTAACTATCACTAACACTAATTAATGTTAACTATCACTAAATATCACTAACACTAATTAATGTCAACTATCACTAACACTAATTAATGTTAAATATCACTAGCACTAATTAATGTTAAATATCACTAACACTAATTATCCATGTTTGCTTTTACTAATGTAAATATATTCACTGCACTTTCTTTCTTTCGTTTTCTATTCTAAATATTGTCCTTAATTGTCATTAAAAGTATCAGCGTTTTGCAAATGTTCAAAATGAAAAATATTATTTCATCGTCAACCTTAAAGTCATTGTTTTGTCGTTATAGTATACCCAGATACTGATTTTTTTTTCTTAATTCCAATAATCATTTGACGATGCTTTAACCGTTGGTTATGAGACAAGCTCAATATGTTCGTTTTTGTCAGTGGAGATTGACACTATTTTCCTCGATATTTTCCTGTGCTCTTTCCTGGTGAAACATTCAATATTAACATCAATATTTAGACTCCACGGTGCGATGACTTACTGTTTTTTAAACAAACTTCATAAGCGTTTATTGTGTACATTGATGTCCCCAGTATACACACAAATAGGAATGCAAACTAGCTCGTCTATCCTTTAAAGTTTGCTCAATAAGAATAGAATATTTGTTTTTTAAGGACAATTTTTTCATGAAATAGTTGCAATTGTTAACACTGTGTCGTCTTGTAGATATGTTTTATTTCTCATTTTATTGAAGGTAAACATGACGTAAAAACGATTAAGTCCATTCCTGGGAAAGTCAAACGTATTATTTAGTGGTAGACTCTGCTGGTACGGAAGCTTTCTTAGTCCCCTTGGTTTGTCGTCACCATGATGGCCACAGTAATATCCTTTGAGTAGTTGCACGGTTCAGTATGTGCACACTTTACTCGTTGATAATTTGAAATTAACCAACACTCCTCTTATTAACGGAATGCATATTATTAATATTTATTAGTTTAGACCAATTTTGATTTCCATCTTTTCGGCCCCAACCATCACCGATGAATCCTAAGGACGAAACAGCTTTTTGTTGCGGTGTTTATTATTTTTGGCCTACTGTATATATTACCTAATTATAAACGTTCAATCCTATGTGTGGTTCTTGGGTTTTTCCTCTGCTATTTTAAGTGTTTTTTTTAATTTATCATTAATGCCAATTTAACGTTATTATATCACATGTTGTTTTTAAATTTCCCAGTTTATTTTGCGATATGACGAAACCGTCGTCGTTAATTAAAATTTGTTTAAAAATCCATTTGATTATAGGCATATAATTTAATCTTGCTTGTAACAAGCAATTTCATTGGCTTAAAAATTCATGCTATCAGCCCGTAACGTAAAAAAATACGTCGCCGTTTGTAACGTCGCTTTTGATTGGCTGATACAGCGGCGTAATAATTTCTAAGAGAAAAGAGTCCGTCAATAAAAGTGGATTTCCACAGGGATTGTGTATAGTAGATTAAATTATAAGGATTGACTTTAATATGTATTTTATGTTATGGAGCTATAACACAAAAAACCGGAGTGTACTCTAATCATAATTTAATCTTGCTTGTAACAAGCATTTTCATTGGTATAAAAAAATATGTTATCAGCCCATAACGTAAAAGAATGACGTCGCCGTTTGTAACGTCGCTTTTGATTGGCTGATATAGCAGCGCAATCATTTCTAAGAGAAAGGAGTCCATCAATAAAAGTGGATTTCCACCGGGATTGCATATAGTAGATTAAATTATAAGGATTAACTTGAAAATATCTTTTATGTTATGGAGCTATAACACAAAAAAACCGGAGTGTATTTTCATCATAAACCGCTTCACGGTTTATTTAGAGTACACTCCATTTTTTTGTGTGTTATATCTCCATAACATGAAAATATATTCAAGTTAATCCTTTAATAAACCGCTTCGCTTCGCGGTTTATTTAGAGTACACTCCGTTTTTTGGTGTTAAGTTAAGTTAATCCTTAATTATCATAATGATATATTGAAATGATACGCGGAAGCTACAATGTGTAATCGAGTAATTACACTTAAACTAAGAAGGAAGTGAAATAACCCAAATAATTGTCGTTGGTCGCTTCTGATATATAATATGAAAATTCAAAACTGTAATAACATCATATCAGGTCCATTCAGATTTATGTTCTCCGATTTAACTATTAATCCAAACAATTTGAGGAACATGTCGATACGCATACAGACTATATTCTGTGTATGAACAATGGTTATTGTGTATCACTCTATTAGTTTAAACATTTCATTATGTTTAATAAATGTGATTATATCTTAGTGTTGACTTAAGACTATATATACACTCTGTTTCACATTGTTATAAGTACATGGGTATCCACAGTGAAGAAGGACCCTAGTAAATTAACTTTCGATCCCTTTGTTTATTAGTGAATTCGTGTTTGATTTAAGAATATATGATATCAATGTAGATCTAATATTTAGTTTGTAACGTAAAATTAAAATAATCGATAGGGCAGAGTTCCCAGCAGCAGGGTTACCCTTATGTTTTGTGGAATAAGGAGGAGCTGGCTACTGAGACACGCCCCTACAATTCTATGTAATTAAATTATTTTATTTGACTATACATGTGGTTTAAA